TTTTTTGTGATGTTCATGTAGTATCCATGTGATGTTCTATGTTTTCTTGTGATGTTCATGTGTTATACATGCGATGTTCTGTGATGTTTTTTATGTTTACGAGGTATACATTAGATGTTCTATTATTTTTTATAAATAAAAAAACTTTTCATTTTTATATTTTCTTTTATTTTATTATTTTGTTTTTATATAATTAATTATTTTATGTTTTGTGATGTTCATACATGTGATGTTCCATGATTATTTTATGATGTTCTATGATTTATTTTGTGATGTTCACATACTATACATATGTTGTTCTGTGTTTTTTTAGTGATGTTCACGTAACATGTATGTGATGTTTTATAATGTATTTTGTGATGCTCACTTAGTATATATGTGATGTTTTATAGTATATTTAAGATATTTGAAAAGTAATCATATGATGTTCTTTTGAAATTTTTTCTATTACGTGTTATTATTATTATTTTTTTCCTTCTGCTTTACTTTAGATTTTTTTATTTTTTATTTATGTTGTATATTTATTTATTTTTATGTATATTATAATACCGCTTTTATAACCAGAATACTATTCTTGTACATCGAGAACATTGTTCTCATGAAAACGGAACATTGTTCTCTAAACCTAGAACATCATCTTTGCTCGATAAAAGAAAATGTTCTATCCTCGTAAGATAAATGTTCGTTAATAAAAATTTATCTGAATATATCCATGTGAGATCTTGTTTTGAAGGATTTATTTTCCAGAAACAATGATGCAATCTGTTTGTTTAACAGTTATGACTTTTTTAAGTTCGTGCTACGTGAGGTGAGAGAGACGTGGGTGAGGTGGGCCCTATCTGTGCTAATTAACTGCCAGCTTCGGAGAACCGTGCGCTACCTGCATGCAGACATGCATGCAGACATGCGGGATGAGCGAGGCACCTTTGGTATATGCCCGACGCAGAATCAAATTAGCGCGAAAATTATTTGCCCGGGACCACTCGTGCGCGGGAAACTATGGGCGCGGTGTTTCCGTCCGATCGGCCGGACTCCAACACGGTCCGGAAAATAGCTCCGGGTAGCATTTGTTTCTAGAGCTGTCACTGTCATTTTGTTTCCCTTTTTCCTGTTTTTTGAAATGTTTAATTTATCAAATCTCAGAAGAAATACTTGTAATGCATATTCAAGTCACAGATATATAAATCTAGGACATCCAAACAATCATCAAAACATATCCGGAAGCCGCTATTTTCTGTTAAAATTATATTTATAGAGATACTTTAACATAAATCTGCTCATAGAAATTTCATATTCTAATCATACATAGTTTGAAAGATATCGATAGACATTTTTTCTCTCTAAAATACCAGAAACTTATGCAACAGATCATTTATTCATTCATGACCAGAGTATGAGTATATAGTTTTAGTACCAAAAGTACACATGCCCTTCTCTTACACACTGCCCCTCTCGTACGTATGCACGTACAACATGTAAAGACATCTTGAGATCGAGTCGAGGCACATGCCCATGCAACACATCTGCAGTGCAAATGTGCATTCCACACGTAATCATGCCTATGTATATACAAGTATCATGCATGCTTTTGAGTAACATTATTATTAGCAACAAAGATTTTTTTTGGTGACTTATCAGCAACAAAGATTAGTGCAGTGCTTAACGTAGCTAAGCTAGGCCATCTTCTTCTCTCTTGTGCACCCTCACCTTGAGGCCGTCCTTCATGTGGAGTATGATGGACAGCTTGGGCCGCACCACGGCGCCGGCGTCCACCTCCACCCTGAACCGCGGCAGCACGGCGGCGACCACGGCCTTCATCTGGGAGTACGCCAGGTCCCTGCCGAGGCACGTCCGGGGCCCCACGTTGAACGCCACGAACTTGTACGACGGCTCGTGCCGGAACCGCCCCGCCGCCGTCAGCCACCTCTTCGGTCGGAACTCCGAACAGTCCTTGCCCCACACCGCCTCCATGCGCCCCATCGAGTAGAACGACACGATCACGCGCCGGGAGGGCCCCACGCGCGCGCCGCTCGGCAGCGTGTCCGGCCGCGCCGCGGCCTTGTGCTCGAACGGCACCGGCGGGTACAGCCGGAGCGACTCCGACAGCGCCGCGTGCAGGTACACCAGTTGCTTCAGCTCGGCGGTGGTGCGGTGGCCGTCCGTGCCGGACGACGGCGGGTGCGCGCGGACCTCCTCGAGGATCTTGGCCTCGACGTCCGGGTGCTTGGTCAGGAGCCAGAAGAACCATGTCAAGGCCGAGCTCGTCGTGTCCCGGCCGGCGACCATGATGTTAAACGTGGTGTCGCGCAAGAACCGGTCGAACTCGGTGCCGGACATGCCTATCTCGTCCTGGCACGCCAGGTACGACGTGAGAAGGTCGGCTTCGGCGGCCTCGGCGGCGCGCCGTCGCCGAAGCGAGATGAACTCGGCGATGGACGCGTCGAGCACCCGTCGAGCGTTCCGCATCTTCTTGCTGTGCCCGATCTTCAGCCACTTCTGGAGCCTCAGCCACGGCACGGGCGTGACGTGCCGGTAGAACAGGACCTCCTCGATGGCGTCCATGGCGGCGGCGAACGGGACGTAGGGGAAGTCGGGGGCGAGGCATCCGGGGTCGATGCCGAACACGAACATCGCCGTGAGGTCAAAGGTGAGGCGCACGAACACGTCCTGCAGGTCCACGGCCGCGCCCGACGCGGCGAGGCCGTCGAGGAGCGGTACGAGGCCGTCGCGGAGCTTGCGCGAGGTGCTCGCGGCGACCCCGGCGCGGAACCGCGCGTCCGACAGCAGCGCGTGCGTCTTGCGCCTCTGGAACGCCCACGACTCGCCGTCGGCGTTGAAGATGCCGTCGCCGAGCACGCCGAACAGCTCGCCGAACTCCTTGCCCTTGGGGTAGTTGCCGAAGTTGGCCGTGAACACGTGCGCCACGTTGGCCGGGTCGGCCGTCACGATCACGTCCACCGGGGATCCCCACGGGCCCTTGATGACGTACGACAGCCCGGCGGCGCGCAGGAACTCCGTCAGCCACTCGTGGATGCGCCCGGCATTGATGGTGATCGCCGGGAGCGCGCCGACCACCGGCCAGTTCGTCGGCAGCCCGTCCCGCCGATTCAGCCTGTGAAACAGCAGGAGAAAGCAAGCGAGGGACACCATGAGCTCTGGGTACCTGCCGAGAAAGCCGAGAAGCCATGACACGATCTCCATTGCTCCGCTTTCTTGAAGCTGAACGAAGTGCCTAATTGAAGTGTCTTGTGACTTGTGAGCTAGTGACTGAGAGTTTTTTAATCGGTTTTTTGCTAGTGTGGTAGCAAGACAGACTGATGTTTGTGACGTTTATATAGGTGATTGTGAGGGGTTTTGGGTTTAGGTGTGCAAGAGAAAGACAAAGGGGGTAAGTTTTTGTCATCTGGTGCACGGCAAGGTACCTGAGCTGACGATCTCACTTCTGACATGGCAAGAAAAGAGAGAGTAATCTTTTCTTGTAACCCACATACCATCATATTGAATTCACCGTCAACAGAGATCGGCAGAAATCCGGGTTGTTCCACAAATGTACACGTAGACATTCATTTGTTCAAGTAAGCTCCTGGAGTTTTGATTGGTGCATGTTGTACTCGTGCAAATTACAAGCTCCTTGATTTAAACAGTAATTACAAATTACAGGTGTCAAAAGCTGCAGTTTGACAGTTCACTTCGTCCAATACACAGAGCCTTTCTACTTTTCTAGCGTAATAAGTTAAAAGTTCCCAGGTAAACATATCTGAATATGATATATATACTAGAATAAACCTTGTTGGTATACCGAATGAAGCTTCTTGTGATGAGGAAAGGCTGCCTAATGGCCTCAAAGATATATTAACTTACAATTAAATCACCTGTATATATCGCCTAGGTCTACCTAAGTCTGAATTCTGAACCCAATGGTAAACATAAAGTGCTTTCAGAAAAGTTGTAAAACTATGCAGTGATGTGCTCTACACCCCCACCCTTTTCTGATCCATTCCAAAATCTAAGACATTTTAGTTTTGTTCTAACTCAAACTTCTCCAACTTCAAACAAGTTTATAGAACGTATACAAGTATCAAGTTAGTTTCATTAAATCCACAACAAAAATTCCTTTATAGTGTATTTATTTGGTATCACAGATGTTAACATATTTTTCTATAAACTTGGTCAAAACTAGAGAAGTTTGATTTAGGAAAATAACAAAAATATCTAATATTTTGGAGCAGATGGAGTACTTACGAACATTTGTCTGTACGAATTATTCAAAGTGTAAGCAAACATACTTGAACAATTCAAAGTAATTCGTTTACTGCCTCAATCGTTGGGGGGCTTTTTCACCAGGAAGTTCAGATTTACTGAACACTAATCACTCTGTGTTAGTCTGACAGACAGCGAAGGTCGGCAACTTGGGTTGTCCTGCATCAATAGCTTTCGCTTGGCAGATAGAACGTGAGAGGCTGAGAGCACACGCCAATTTGTGTGGGCGCAATGCGATGTTTCTTTTGAAGTGAAGAAAGCTTGTGATACGATGACAGGTAACATCCGAATCTGATACGTCAGACTAGGTCTTGACAAGGAAGTTTCTACCGTGAAGAAAAAAGAACTTGTACTATGATGGTGTGAGCATATGTCAGCTGCATGTGTACGCCGTGTACCCTCCTGTGACAAAAGATGGGATAGGTTGTTGTAGGCTGACATGATCCCAACCAATTCAGTTGGTGTTGGAACTTGGAACATATAAGATTAGAGAGGTCCATAGACACAGAAAGAAGACAAAGATTGTAAATTTGCATTGTTCTTAACAGGTCTATAGTTTACATACAATCAAGTAAGAAGCCATCACACATTGACACCAATAATTACCATACTATTTGCTCCTAAATCAGACTAAAAGCATTCACCACCACAGTATATATGTTCATATTACAAGCTCAAATTCTAACAACTCCAGATATATGGTTTCATGTCTACATGTGCATAAGCGGGTTAACCAGACATCAGCCTGCCACCCTTCTCTTGAGACTAACCATAATCCCGTTCTGAGTGTGGAGTATGACAGAGCTCTGCGGCATCACTTCATGCCCTTTGACCAGCTCGACCTTGAAGTTGTGTATAATGGACGCAGCTGTGATCTTCATGTTGCTGAGGCTGACGTCCTTGCCGATGCAGCTCCTGGGTCCAGAGTTGAAGGACATGAACTTGTAGCTTGGTTCATGCCGGAGGCGGCCACTCTTGGACACCCACCGCTCTGGCCTGAACTCCATGCAGTCCTTGCCCCATATCCCTTGTATTCTCCCCATGGCGTAGAGTGAAAAGATGATCCTTGTGCCCTTTGTCACCTTGGTGCCATTTGGTAGGATGTCATCAACATGGGCCTCCTTCTCCTCAAATGGTGTTGCCGGGAAAAGCCTGAAACATACAGTACTCTGCAGTTAGATAGTTAAGGTCAGACCAGCTTTGTTTCCAAGATAGTACCAGCCTAGGAGACCGACGGAGCAGCAGAAAGTCTAACCTAAGTGTCTCAAGGAGGGCAGCCTGGAGGTAAACTGCAGACCTGAGTGCGTCGCACTCAAAGACAGAGAAGTCCCCAGGCCAGCTACTGCTCTGCAGGTCCTTGAGCTCCTCAAGTATCCTTGCCTCGACTTTTGGGTGCTTGCACATCATGTAGAAGAACCACGTGAGCGTGACGGCAATGAGGTCCTTCCCAGCAAGGATGAACCCCACAGCCGTGTCACGGACGAAGTCTGTCTTCTGCTGCTCGCTCATGCTGGGATCCAAGGTCACTTTCATGTACATGGAGAGTATATCTGCCTGGCTTCCATTGCTCCCCTGTGCCTTCCGTTTGGCAATCTCCTCGTAGATGAACCGATTGATCACCACCTTCGCATCAGCAAGCTTCTTCTCTGTCCCAACATTGAGCCACCTCATGAGCTTCCACAGCTTTGACGGTACCATGTGTCTGAACAGCATTGCCTCTTCCGCTTCCTTTGTGGCGCAGCCAAACACAGGCATGGGAGAAGACACTGATAAGCAGCTAAGGTCAGTTGAAAAAACTGTACAGTATGAGATATCGAGCGAGAGTCTCATGAAGACGTCCTCCAGCTCAACCTCTGAACCATGCTTGGCCATGTGATCAAGGTAAGGTAGCAAGACATTGCCGACCTTTCTTGTGATTGTGGACATCACAAAGGATCGAAAGGCACGGCCACCAAAGATAGAAGTTGCTACACGGCGCTGATACTCCCAGGATTCAGAATCTGCCACAAGGAGACCATCACCTAGAATGTCAAACATCTCAGCAAACTCTCTGCCTTTTGGGTACTTCTCGAAGTGGGTGTTGAGGCAGTGGTTGACTGTGGCTGGATCACAGGTGATCAAGAAGTTCATGTCCAGAAACCACGGGCCAAAGAAGAAGAATGTGCACCCTGCCTCGCGTAGCAGACTCATGACCTTGTCATGAATGCAGTGCCTACTCACCACGATGAAGGGGAGCATCCCAACAACAGGCCAGTTCACAGCGATGCAGCTCTCCTGGCTCTGCTGGATGAAGCGGAAAATGGAAAGCCCGAAGAAGCAGATGATGGCTATGCAGACATCTGGATAGGAATGAATTAAGCTCCAGAGGGAGCCCATGGTTGTGCAAGGTTATGAGTTGCAGAGGGAAGAAGAGCATGCAGCAATATGCCTAGGCTTCACTTTTGGATTGCAAATTTCAAATGTATGGCTTTAGGGTACTATAAGAAGCTACCTATGTGCATTGAGTTTCTTGTGGGATTGGTATCCTTGAGTTCAGGACTCATGACATTCATATGCTTCAAAATGAGATGTTAAACTTGTGGAGGTCAGATTATTTATATACCATACAACATCTAAATTTGTCAGGCATTTGATTTTGCGCTTGAATTATTAACCTTTAACACCTAGCGATATGCCGTTAAATTGACCTGGATTGGCCTGGTACATACAATTACCGTTAACAGTCCAGCTAGTACTCTTTTTGGCGCTCAAGTTGGCATTATTGTGGCAGGGAACATAATGTTTCCGAAAGCCTAAAACATAAGCTCAACTAGTGTTCTGTGCCAACACTCAAAAAGTGTGGTATTCCGAGATGCAGACGCAGAATTCCTCATGCAAATTTTGTGGTGGTGTCGTATGTCCCATTGCAGTATGCTATCTGCAAGCTTGAATGATACCGACACGCCTTGGTTTCATAACTAGAGACACATTGGCTACCAGGGGAGCATCATATCAAACTCTCAAAGAATTATGGTGCACAAAAACATCATCAATTTTCCATGCGAAAACATTGCTAGTGCCAACCTTACAGCTATCATAATGCGCTAGTTGAAAATTAACATTTTTCTTAACCTTATTACAGCTATCATCATGTGCTAGTTCTAAACATCCCCAAAAGTGATGCTCACATTGAACCATTCAGTCTAACAAGGCAGAAGAGCCAAATTGCCATCAAATTTGCATCGTCAAGGTATGGGCTCACACAGTCATCGCAGAAAATAAGCAATTGCAACGAATCAGAGAAAGAGAAATGCGTAATTTAATTGCCAGTTCATAGATTCATCACAGCACACATAGCATTTTGAAGTAAACATTTAGATCACCAATTTGGAAGCGCATACGCAGAGAGAGACACCTCTAGGTATCCTTCTGGAAGAAGGCATCGATGCGGCGGGTCCCACGCGGCAGCGGCTTCGCTTCCCCTCCGCCGCCGCCACCGGCTGATCCCGCGGTCTTGCGGGCACGGGGAGCCTCCTCTTCGGCAGCGAGGCAGTCAAGGAGGAAGTCCGCCGTGGGCCGGTGCGCGCGGGCCGCGGCCCGCACGTGCACTGCACGGACCGTGCGCCGGCCCCGCCGCGACGCCGCGGTGTGGGCCCCTGTCGCGAGGCTGCCCAGGAAGAGCTCGGTGGCGGCGGCGATGAGCAGCACCGCCTCGCTCGTCACCTTCTTCATGTCCCGGTCCACCCGCATGATCCGCTTCACCCTGCCCACCGGCAGCGCCGGCCGCAGCGACGCCCCCTCTTCGGCCTCCGCCTCCTCTCCATCCTTCTCCATTGCCTCGGCGGGGTCGCCGCCCTCCTTTGGCTCCTCCTCGATTTGCTCCATTGCCTCGGCGGACTCAGTCGCCTCCTCGCTCTCCTTTCCGAGCTGCTCTTCCATTGCCTCGGCGGCCTCCTCGCTCTCCTTCCCGAGCTGCTCTTCCATTGCCTCGGCGGCCTCCTCGCTTTCCTTTCCGGGCTGCTCCTCCATTGGCACGGTGGGTTCGTCGGCGGTGGCGGCGGCCATGGCTAGGGCTTGGGTTTGGAGGTAGTTGGGGGTGCGGTGTAGTGCGATCCGCCGTTGGATTCATCGGTGTGATTGGGTTGGGGGAGAAATGGCGGAGAATTTGGGGATGTTTCCCGCGAAATCCCGACTCCGATCGCCGCAGCCCGTAGGCGGCGCCGTCTACGGGTGCAAAGGCCGTAGTGGGCCGGCAAGGTGCTTACAAAGCCCATTGAGTTTTATTTGAGTAAAAGTAGCCATTTAGTTTTATTTGAACTGAACATATATAGTTTTATTTGAGTAAAAGTAGCAAATTTAGTTTTATGTGACATATGATGGCCATGGAGTACGAGATGGTGGTCGCGCAAGCGAACTGAGCGTAGTTCAGTTGGTTAGGCTCCTTGTGGTGAAATATGTCCATCTGAGTTCAAGTCATTGACTTGGCACAGGTGCTCGTATTTTCCTAAATTTATTCTATGATTTAGTGGCGTTGTTATTTAAGTGGTAGACGACGTTTCCGTCGACAGCGATGCGTCTGTGGTGACTTCGTTAATATCGAGATGTGCTAGCATAGTCTTTCGAAGGTGCTCATAGAGATAGGGTTTGCGTACGTGTGTTTATAGGAGTGAGTGTGCGTGCGTGTTGAGTGTCTGCGTCTATACTTGTATAATTCCCCAAAAAAGAGATGGTGGCCACGCACGGCCTCCGTGACTGGCAGGCACTGCAAGAAATGTTGAATTCGGCGGGGCGGGGGAGTGCGTGTCCACGGCCACGGCAGTGCTAGGCTTAGACTTAGACCGTGCGCTGGCTGGAGGTTAGAGGAAAAACTGCCGTGAGGCCCACACGCCAGCTAGTGGAGGGAAAGAGAAGCAGCATGGGTATTTTGGGACATATTAGCCTTTAGTTATTTGTGCGTGGGCCTAACACTATCGACTACATAGAAAATGGCACGATTCAAGCCGAAAAAGAATTATAATGACATGTTTCCAAATAGACAAATAATAATACTATTTCTCCAAACTTGCAAAATTGTAATGGTACTAAACAAAAACATGAACCCGAGCGGGGAGCCACCGTGGCTTGCTTTGTGTCAATCCTACCATCTATGAGTTCTCCTGAAGGCACATGTTGAGTTTAATTAACGGCCGCACTAGCGCCCGGACGTCCAAACGGACCCCCGCATCCAGACGCCCACACCAGCGCCTTCTACATGCATAGGTGGGGCCCGCTCGCTCCTCTCCCCCATGGTTCCCTGCTTCCCGTGCCCCTCCACGCTTGCTGCGCCGCTCCCTCCATGCACGGCGCCCAGCAGCTGCAGCAGGCAGCTGCGGTAGATGGCTCACATTACAACATGCACAACACTAAAAGGTCCTAAATAGATAGAGGGGGGTGAATAGCATATAAAATTTTCTACAACAATACTAAGACAACTTGTTAGTCAACTAAATGGCGAAGCGAATGTTACGCTAGCACTACAAGTGTTTCAAGCTAACTATCCACAAGTCTAGTTAGCTATGATCTCTATGTATCAAGTAATGGTTATATCAGTACTTCTACCACTTATGAGCAACCTAGCAAGAGTAATTACAACTAGTTAAGCTACACTACTCACTAGCTACAACTAGCATTACACACGAATATAGGAATGTAAATACAAGTGTTAGGGATGATATACTGAGCCGGGCAAGAGATCAATCACAATGGATACCAATGAATTTCTTGGAGACAAGATGACACAATGATTTTTCACCGGGGTTCACTTGCTTGCCGATAAGCTAGTCCCCGTTGTGGCGATTCACACACTTAGAGGTTCACGCGCTAATAGGCATCACACGCCTAACTCACAACCGGGTGCCGCACAACCAACACAAGATGAGGATCCACAAGCCACAAGCAATCCATTAAAGGTGTCTTTTGTGATCTCCCACGGGAAGGCATAAGAACCCCTCATAAATCACCGAGAGGTGGCTAAGAACAATCACCAATTCTTACCAACACTCCTCCGCTGCTCCAAGCCATCTAGGCGTCAGCAAACACCAAGCGTAACAAGAAAACCACAGCAAATCGATCCCCAAGTGCCACTAGATGCAATCACAAGTAAATGCACTTTGGATCATTCCCAACTTAGGATGCACAACCAAGCAAGAGAATGAGTGGGAAATGTTTGGCTCAGCTCAAAGGATGCTATCACATGTAAGAATAACTAAGAGAGTGAGCAAGAGCCGGCAAAACACTATTTATAGAGCCCCCAAAAGATAGAGACGTTACTCTGTCGTGGGGGCTTCGTACCGTGGCTCTGGACCATGAACATGGTCGGTCCAGACCCTGGATGGCTGCCACGCTGAAGGCTCTAGTTTGGTTTTGGTGAATTAATAAAACCCTAAGTGCTAACCTATTGCTCTAAGTGATCATGAGGTAGGTAGCACTATTTCAAGTGTGGAGCAAATGAAGATCATGTTGATGGCGGTGATGGCCACGATGATCAAGTGCTCAGCTTGAAAAAGAAGAAAGAGAAAAATAAAAAGCTCAAGGCAAAGGTGAAACTTGATATGAGCTTTTTGGTTTGGTGATCAAAACACTTAGCGAGTGTGATCACATTTAGGATCGATAGCCGTACTATTAAGAGGGATGAAACTCGTATCGAAATACGGTTATCAAAGTGCCACTAGATGCTCTAAATCTTTGCATATGCATTTAGATCTAGTGGAGTGCTAAGACCCTTGAAGATGTTTGTGAAAATATGCTAACACACGTGCACAAGGTGATACACTTGGTGGTTGGCATATTTGAGCAAGGGTGGAGAAGTTGGTGAAGTGAAGGAGGTGATTGTCATTGGAAAACAGTGACCGTACGCTGCTCCCTATGTGATCGGACGCTGGATCAGTGAGTTCGGTCAATTATAAATGAAGGAGGCGCGCTCAGGCTCTGTTGGTGGAGTGACCAGAGGCTGGGTCAACATGTGACCTAACGTGACGCTGGCGCGTCCGGTCAGCCCTAATGTATGGTGATGTCAGCAGAGTTTTTGGCGCACAAAGGAGAAGGCAGGATCGGACACTGACTTGTGTCCGGTCAGGGTGGACCTAACACATCCGATCACATTTGGAGGGCTCTGGATCATCTCTGGAACTGACCTAATGCTAGGGAGTTAGTGTGATCGGTGCATCTGGTCGTTCACTGGGTGTGCGTGGGGATGCGTTGATCTGACGCGACGTGGGAGCGTCAGGTGGTGGCTCACCATGTCCGATCATCACTTAACTGTTGGCGCGGGTGAGTTGACCATTGGGATCATGCGGTGCACATCAAACGGGAGTGACACGTGGCACAAATCCAGTGACCAGACGCTGGGTGCGGTGCAT